ACCGAATCATACATACACTAGCCTGTCCGTTATACTGAGAAGTGACTTCGGACCGAATCATAATCACACTAGCCTGTCCATTATACTGAGAAGTGACATCAGACCGAATCATACTTACTCTAGCCTATCCATCATACTAAGTCTAACTGACATCAGACCGAATCATACATACACTAGCCTGTCCGTTATACTGAGAAGTGACATCAGACCGAATCATACTCATACTAGCCTGTCCATCATACTAAGTCTAACTGACATCAGACCGAATCATACTTACACTTGCCTGTCCGTTATACTGAGAAGTGACATCGGACTAATCATACTAACACTAGCCTGTCCATCATACTGAGAAGTGACATCAGACCGAATCATACTTACACTAGCCTGTCCGTTATACTGAGAAGTGACATCAGACCGAATCATACTTACACTAGCCTGTCCATCATACTAAGTCTAACTGACATCGGACGAATCATACTTACACTTGCCTGTCCATCATACTGAGAAGTGACATCAGACCGAATCATACATACACTAGCCTGTCCGTTATACTGAGAAGTGACATCAGACCGAATCATACATACACTTGCCTGTCCATCATACTGAGAAGTGACATCAGACCGAATCATACTTACACTAACCTGTCCGTCATACTGAGAAGTGACATCAGACCGAATCATACATACACTAGCCTGTCCGTTATACTGAGAAGTGACATCAGACCGAATCATACATACACTAGCCTGTCCGTTATACTGAGAAGTGACATCAGACCGAATCATACTTACACTAGCCTGTCCATCATACTAAGTCTAACTGACATCGGACGAATCATACTTACACTAGCCTGTCCGTTATACTGAGAAGTGACATCAGACCGAATCATACTTACACTAGCTTGTCCGTTATACTGAGAAGTGACAACGGACGAATCATACTTACACTAGCCTGTCCGTCATACTGAGTCTAACTGACATCAGACCGAATCATACATACACTAGCCTGTCCGTTATACTGAGAAGTGACATCAGATCGAATCATACATACACTAGCCTGTCCGTTATACTGAGAAGTGACATCAGACCGAATCATACTTACACTAGCCTGTCCGTTATACTGAGAAGTGACATCAGACCGAATCATACTTACACTAGCCTGTCCGTTATACTGAGAAGTGACATCAGACCGAATCATACTTACACTAGCCTGTCCGTTATACTGAGAAGTGACATCAGACCGAATCATACTTACACTAGCTTGTCCATTATACTGGGACTAGCTGACATCATACTGACACAAAGAATTTTTTTCTTAGAGCATCCCATTTAGTGTGTCAGGGAGGATGAAATATGAATAATATTGACTTTATGTCAAGGCCTGCAAATGAAATACAATTTCTTCATCACTTTCAAGTGAATAAAAACAAAACATCAAATGCAGAAATGCGAGGCTCAAAATGATTGAAGTCTTTCTCTTCTTTTTGAATAGCAATATCATTATTGATATGCTGGTGATGTGTTTAAGTGCTTGTTCCTTAGAGAAAGATTTTCGTGCAAAATGTCGACAACTGACAGCTCACAAAAACATTTTAAGAAGTGCAGATTGATGAAGTTAATGGGGGACGTCCCACGGTCGTCATAATGATCTAATGAAAAATGTTCTAGATCCTTTTAGAATTTTTTAAATAGATTTTTCTGTTTTGTTTTTGTTTTTGGTTTTTCATATATCACCCTTTTACACAGCAAATTTGAGTTTGGATTAAGATTCAGTTGACAAGCTGTCTTGTTTTTGACGATGCCTCACTTTTGGTCTTTAAGTAGGAGTTCACCACTGCTAGCGTTCACAGTGTAGAACACTATGAAGTCGGAGTCCGTACCACACTACCATAACAAGGCTTACTTACACAAACACAGCATTTCGAAAGCACGCACTCAAGAAATTGCATTACCTACGCATACAAAGCGAGGCCGCTTTTAAATGATCATAAATGTTCAGACGTTAAAATTTTAACGATATTGTTTGTAGATTTACAACTATATAATGATTTTGAAAACGCTGACGAAATGATGCAATTAGGGAAAATAAGTCAAAAGAAAAAGTATAAGTCAGGTTAAAAAAGTCATCATATAAAACCTCATAACTTACGAAATGATTAAGCCAGCTACAGGGATATACTGGTTGTATACACGACGTAAAATACATAGACATTGTTGTTAACAGTACGTCAATTACAACATCCGCTTCGTTATTTATTAACACATTTGTGATACAATAACAAAAGAATAAGGAACATAATCTATCCATTGTGTTGATGGCACTTTTATGTTTACATAAAAATCTATTGAGTTTACCCAACATCTATTATAAATGACAGCGTCAGAAAAATTAAAATAATACATTGTTTTCACAATTAATATGTCGTGACAATGTACCGTGCTTTATATTACGTAGCGATAACAAATCTATTAACAGGAGTGCTCATCACAATTCCATCTACATACAAGTCTCCTTAATTTTGCATTATGTCGGAAATACATTTTTGTAGTTGTGTTCTAGGACCATAAAGAAAATACCGACATGATAACACAGCCTTAATTCAAACTCAAAATCAATGCAATACGGGCACACTGTGAGCTACATGAAGACTACTGAAAAATATCAGGAGAATAAGACTAGGTGTTCCGCAAGAGTTAGCCTTTTCTGTTTCATCGATGAAACCCGCCACGTTAACTTGGTAATACAAGTACGTCATGTTCTCAAATGCGAACAAAGCATAGAACAACGAAACCAACAAGCAAACTAACGAAGGGCAAATACGTCAATCGTCATACCACATAAAGAAAAATAATAGGTCTTAGTAAAAGTTGGGGTCCGTTGATACTAGGGGAACAGTAGTGACCAAAATTGGTCTTTTGCACCATCATGTCGTTTTTTATTTTGTTTCTATCCATTCCGATTCTATAGCCGTAGTCACACATTCGTCTAACTCTTGTCGTTGTAATAATGTTTAATCCTAAACGAAAAGAGGAATCACCGTAAAAGGACAGAGAAGTCTGACGTCACTAGCAGTTTCCTTACCCTTATCGTAGACCTCAAATTCCAGAGTATATTGTTTCCGTAACCTTTGTTAACATGTGTTTTGCAAAATATCATTTGGCTCTTTTCATGTTGAAGTTCTGTTTTGTCATCTTCCCTTGATTAGGATGGTGTGTTGTATCGTCCGCTATTTTGTGTAATTTGTATTTTTTTTTCTATTCGTAGATCCGTATTCCTTGATGATTAACGTCGTTTAAGTGTCTCAGTTGTATAATGTTACTGAATATACCTATAAAGTAATGACTTACAATAGACTCACTACAGTGACAAGATAAAGGACTGACCGCATATCCTTACATATCCTAATATATCCTAATGAATCCTAACATATCCTAATATATCCTAACATACCCTAACAAATCCTAACATACACTAACATATCCTAATATATCCTACTAATTCCTAATATATCCTAACATATCCTAACATATCCTAACATACCCTAACAAATCCTAATATATCCTAACATATCCTAACATATCCTAACATAGCCTAAGATATCCTAACAAATCCTAACATACCCTAATATATCCTAATATATCCTAACGAATCCTAATATATCCTAATATATCCTGACATACCTAATATATCAAATTAACAAACTATATATCCTAACATATCCTAACATATCCTAGCAAATCCTAACATATACTAACATACCCTAATATATCCTAACATAGCCTAATATATCTTAACATATCCTAACAAAACCTAATATATCCTAACATACAATTCCTAACATATCCTAACATATCCTAATATATCCTAACATAGCCTAATATATCTTAACATATCCTAACAAAACCTAATATATCCTAACAAATCCTAACACATCCTAACATACCCTAATATATCCTAACATATCCTAACAAATCCTAACATATCCTAACATATCCTAACATATCCTTACAAATCCTAACAAATCCTAACATACCCTAACATATCCTAACATATCCTAATATATCCTTACAAATCCTAACAAATCCTAACATATCCTAACATACCCTAACATACCCTAACATATCCTTAAAAATCCTAACAAATCCTAACATATCCTAACATATCCTAACATATCCTTACAAATCCTAACAAATCCTAACATACCCTAACATATCCTAACATATCCTAATATATCCTTATATATCCTGACAAATCCTAATATATTCTAATAAATCCTAACATATCCTAACATCGCCAATTTGCTGAGACCCATGTTTATCATCGGTCCACCACTAATGACAACGTTTGTATTTTAACAGCTTGCGATAGAACAAAAAACGTAAAATAAATGATTGGTACAGCAAAAGAATGCCACAAACCTGGTTACATAAATGTACCATGCTAACATGTGTTGAAATATTAGTTTTCGACGTTTTCCTTGGGAACAAAAAATTGACAGGTTGATCATGGCAATCTGTGAAGTATTGTACATCAGGGAAATGGGAGCTTTCTTGTGTATGCACACAAGAGAATGGATCATTGCTAATTGGTAGAAATGTCAAATGGTTATTCGTGTCCAATTAATCCCTCATGTCTCATAGGATGTGTAGTAAATATAACCTGTCACAAATTGCTCAGATTCATTTAGTCCGTGATGCAAATGTACACGATGAGTCATATCTTGACTGGCGTTACTTAAAGATTATACACTCTGGGGAATAGATGTCTCGGAGATATTGTCAATATCAAAAATAAAGTTTTGGATACGTAAGGCGATGATTATGTGAAGGTCACATTGTCACGTTTTGATGGATTTATTAAGTGTAGTGTATTATTCATGATATGTGTAACTTGCTTGATTTATTTCTTTACTAGGCTGTCCTCTATGGTAAGTAGGGCAGTATAAGTGCATTTAGGACAGTCTTGCAGGAACAAAGGTAAGGTGTAATGTGTAAGAAATGTACCTGTTGCCCCCGTTTCATGATCGTAAGGGTTCAGATCTTCATGTATCCTCTTTTCTACAGATTTTGCTAATGCCTTCTTTGACATTGTCCTACATTTGGCCTTAAGTTGAACATTTGCCCCTGTGATGAAGGCTTTGGGTTCTGCCACCTGGTCGATACATGCCAGAGTCTTTAAAAATGGTAGTCATAACTTCCGCATGCTTTAGCATTTTGGTAAAGTAGCGACTGGTTTGAAAGTGTCATTATGCTGTGGCCGAGTTGGGGGTTTTGGTAGTATGTTTCAGTGTGGTAGCACTTTAAAGTCGGCTTCAGTTCCGCACTAACACAAGACGGCTTACTCGTACATATCGCAGCCTCTGAAAAACGTATTCACTCATCACATCCACTTACATCGTTAACACCTCCTCAAATTACCCAAGCTGTTGTCAGGACATCAGACAAACCAGGCCAATATCTCATTTGTCCGTATAATGTTTTGCCCCGCGGTATTCTTGCCAACCTTGGCAGGATTCACTACCATAAACACAACATTTCTTTAACTACATTCTGAAATTGTTACTGCCATTTGGTGTGATCGGCTGTTGATATTGTCGAGGGATTACTTCTTCCGTTTCCAATTTCTAGTATGCTTGTTATGCTGTATTATGAAAAACACACGCAAGTGTTTTCACCCGTGGTATTTTGACTTTATGAAAATAGTTGATACCTTTGCTCTTTTCCAGTTTTTATCGTTTGTTGGAGATCCTCTCCCTCAAAATTCATCTAAATTCTTTTTTGCAAACAGAGCTGTAATGACATGGAACTCTGCTTTACTGTTGGCATTTTGATTAGATAATCATTGAAGCTGTCAGATATTGTTCTTTCCCGCGATACTCTTAAGTGTTTTTCTCTTTCACGTGGATCGAACGTGTAATGTTCATTGCATGGTATATTTGTCTACAGAGTGTTATTTCCCTGCATTCAAATAAACTAAGCTTGATACCGATAACCTACACTATATGAAATCTAACCAAAGAACATATACTGATTCAGTATTAAAATAAAGTAGATTGTCTCCTGATGATAGCGATACGGACCTCCCACGTTTGTATTGGATTCCTAAATTTCACAAGAATCCATACAAACAGAGTTTTCCCAACGTTTACTAGTTCACCCAAACTTTTCTCAAAGCTTCTTAGTATTGTTCTTAGTACTATCAAATAAATGTTACAGTTGTATTGTGATACTGTTTACTCAACAAGTGAAATTAATGGTATATGGATTTTTAGAGCAATCTATATGCATTTTAACCAATCTTGAACAACCTCTTCTAAATACATTTCTTCAATACGTTTAACAAGAACATTTGGTATATCTACTCTCAACAACACCATACCCCATTCTAGACCGAAGGAAAGCCTTCGTTCACTTGTTATGAGAGTTGTCTTTTCTATTATAACCTATAAACTATACTGAAGTGTATGTCGAGGAAAAGTAAGTCAAGATCAAAGAAGAAATATACGGAGGATGAAATCGTAAAAATAATAGCATTCTTGGTCGACAATATCTTCATCGAGTTTGGTAACAAGATCTTCCAACAAACCATTGACATATCTCTCTTGTGATTTTTTGTTTATTGTTCGAGTCTGAATTTATCGACGAGCTTGGTCACAATGACCTTGCAAAGTCCTTCAATTTCACTTTTAGATGCATTGATTACTTTGAAAGGACATCACATTAAAAACTTTATTCTTTTCATTAATTGTGTATGTTTTATACCTTCCATTTTCTTTGTTATCCCAGTATTCACAGTCGATTTCCAATGTCCTGATTGATCACTCATTTTATTAGGGCAACCCCTCTCAAATTAAGAGCTGACATCAGTTTTAAAAACGAGGCAGTGAACATATGAACATATGTATGGCGGAGAAAAATTTAATGACACTGTACGTAAACACATGTTTTTCAGCAACCTGTCATGGACCAGTAGATGTTTAATAACTCATTTTTAAAGTTTAATAATTTAATTCAGAATTGTGACATTAATAGCTAACGTTATTGGTAAACAATATCGCTGCAGCCGTACACGTATTGTAAACAACATGTAAAAAACAAATAAAATTAACGTATGAGTGAGTAGGAATGTTAATTCAAAAGATACGTAAAATAGCATTACAGCCAAGTAAATATGGTACATAATTTATATAGAAGAAAGTCACTACTAATTTTCTCTGTCGCTTATGTCGAACATTTTGACAATAAAATGTAGAGGCTAGATTAAGTGCGTGTCATTATAATACACTGAGTTGTTTCAAGTAGTTTATATTCATCCCGGTGTTGTTTATCAAATCTAATTAGAAATGAATAACTGAAAAGACAAAAATGGCAGAATAATTACCTAGTATTTCAACACTCGGAAGATATTTTATTGGGGGAACAACCATGATGTAAGCATCGTATTTGTTTTGGGAGCCGTGATGAACCGTGTAAGTAAGTCCAGAACAAAAATGTAAAATTGGCCTGCATGTTTAGAAGGAATAGCATATACATTATCTACAAAAATATAAAAACAATAATATTCACCGAATTAAATCTGACTGGAAACTTCGTCTTAAGTACATTTTGAACTTCCAAATGAAGATTATTACAATGTGAAAGTTCAGCAAAGTTAAGAAAATTAAAAATTCTCCAAATAACGTGGTTTGTTGGATCTTTCGGGAAGGACACATTTATAAACAGCGTATTAGTTTTCTAGTTGTGATAAATCTTCTATATATAAAATGAACTATTGTGTTTACAACCCGATGGCATATGCATCCTAACTCTGACTCACAACCAAGGTCGGAGAGTCAGGGCCAGATAGCAATCTGAAATACCAACAGCTGTCGTTTTATATTATTATTACTTATATCCATTAAAACATCAGGAGTTAAAAGGACCAAATAATTAAATGTCCATAACCTATAGAACAAGTGATAACATCGAGAAAAGTATGTTTAAAGTTATGCACTTTCTGTTAATTTGAACCATAAAGTTTGTAAACAACTTAATTGCGCATGCATTAATTGTTGGAAAAATTCTTACTCATTCTCAACAAGAATTATATGTGTTAATTTGTCTCTTATCTATTTGATATCTGTGGGAATTTTTACTCATTCTCGTATATTTTTCCTTGTTTTTTGTTTATTTCGGTCACTTTACTTGTATTCCTCAAAAACATCAACTTCTATATCTGTATTAAACACATTGGAATCTGTGACCTTGTCGTTATCGTTTTGTAAATTTTTGCTCGATCAAATCATATATGCACAGCCTATTTCAGGTTTATGGCAATCCCATCGACTACATCTATAGCAAGTTTCAATTAAATTTTGTGACTACAAATCTGTAAGGTGCATTGCGTCTTATTTGTATTTTCAATGGATTTTTCGTGTAGTTATACATTTAATGGACCGTCAAGCTAACACGGTTATGTTCACGTGATCTCGGGACACGTGTACTATGCATATAATGCCAAGAACTTGAACGCGATCTGCCAACGTGAGCACCAAAACCATACTGTTCTCAGCTCTTTCCAATCAAAACAACGACTGGAGACAGATACAACTTCGATTTTTGATTAGCAAAAATTGAATGCCGACAGTCTTTGCCAATTCTTCACGGATAGTGTTATAATTTGTAAATGATGCCAGGCATTTCAGCGCTCTTTGGAAATAAAAATCTCGGGATAAAAAGACAAAATTTCGCCATTAAGAAATGTTAAAGAAGATTTCGATTTTATTGTCTGTGCCTGCAAACTTGTGCAGATAACAGATGCTGCATCTCAGTGCGTGGAGGGAAAGTGTTAGTAATGGTGCGGTACAAAAAGTCATTCTGTTTTGGGGACATCGGAGACACTAGGGTCTGCTGCATTCTGTATAATGCATGTAGGGGGAGGGGGGGAGCTCTTCCGTGTTTACTACTAAGGGAAGAATGGAGAGACCAAAACATATAAAAATCAATAAAAGCAGACCCTACTGTAAAAACCGATGATATACAAAGTCCAATGGGCCGTCACGAAAATATCACGTGACCGATCTGCATATTCATATTCAAATATATTTGTGTAGTAGGCGAGCTTACAGGTAAAGTGGGATGTCGCACGTGCCGAGCGCTATAATGCAACAGGTAGGGTGCAGCCCATCCCCGAAATTCCAGGGGTTACGATCACTAACGATCTCTTCGCTTTATAGTCATTCGAGGACTCACTGTGCAGTCTGAATAGGGCGTTAACGTGTTAATAGTAAATACCGCAAACGTCTGAACTATTTTCCGACTTAAGGTTTTTTTTAGAAAAAGTGAATTTCAACATCTTTTATATTAATGTTAACGCACGATCTAATCTTGAGAATTTCCCAGATGAGTTATTTTTACGACAACGATATATCGTTTCCTATATTTGGGCATTCACTCCAATCACATGTCGACGAATTTTAAAATTGAAAGAAATGTATATTCTTCAGAAAAAAAATCCTCATGCTATTTAATACATCTCTTGAATAAACAGCCTTCATCGTTCATTTTTAATCACAGATATCCCACATTCTCCTTGACATCCTAAGCCAATCCTGTGTACATAGTTTGTACACACCATCCAGCTCCCGCCTTACCTGGCTGGTTTCGATTGTTATCTGATTTTGAAAAAAATACTCCTTTAATAAAGCATGCTTTATCTAAACATATGTATATTTGTGTATATTCAGTAAGACTATTTAGCAATATGCTATGAATATCGAAATGAAAAACTGTTTATCTGTAAATATGTATATCTCTCTTTTACCGCCAAATTAGTGTAGACTTCGCTCCGGAAGACGTAGCTGCAAGGCAATTGTGGGATTAACTTGCGTTCGTTGAATTCAAAACTATATGTAAACAAAAATATTATCGAATCAAGGAGATGAGTAGTAAAGGTATTTTTGTGACTTTAGGTACCGTGTCATCAAAACCAACACAAAATAACCAAGAGGATTAGCCTTGTTGGACCGGTTTAGTATAATTCTATCAAACATAAAGAGAAAATCCCAAAATCTTGGGGTGCTTGTACCTTTAAACTCTTTCGGGATGGGGCGTGGCCGTTTGATATACACCGCTTGTGACGTGGAAGGTTATCCCCCAGGCCTGACGAATCTGTGATTTCAGATCGTTCTTGTCCTTTGTGACCTTTGATTCGGTACTCGATCAAATTATTAGGATCCACGTCTTTAAAACTTTGTTTTCTGGTATGATTCTGACTTGTGTAATTTAGTTGTATTTCTCGAAGCGTATGCACGTGCGACAACAGATAGAAATCTGAACCGTAACTTACGTTTTGATTCGATCAATTCGGTAAATTATCGAACAAAATCAATGACTTTTAATTAAAGAAACCCAAGATTATGAGTAATGATACGCTGATCAAATTATCTTATGGTCAATCTAAAGCCCCGTCTTTATGATATATCGTATGCATTTAAGGGAAATTATTGTGCGGAAACCAGAGCTTGGCAAATGGACTCACGTCTGGACGGACGAACGGACGAACTCACCGTCAAACAGGTGTTGAGTGATCTAGCAAAAAGAAGGCTTGATGAAGTCTCTTGACGGAAACATGTGTACCTGATAAGTGTGTTGTACTGACTACGATATTGTATTTGATTTGATCTTTTTTTTAAATATCTTTTTTTTACAACCCGTCAAAAATTTGATTGCAAAGATAACAATCGAACCAATTTGACCAAGAATTTTCTAAGATTAAATTAATCTCTACAATAGCAATGTTGATGTGTGGTTGTGTTCACCTGCCAATGTTAACGCTATGCGTTATTGTCAAAACAAGTCCTCGATTAAGTCAAACCACAGGACGAATTTACATCGATAAAACCTTAAATTTTCTGTAATATAACTTACGTTGTATAACATTCATCCCGTTAGATCTTGGCCTCTCTTCAGTGTAAAACATTATTGTCCGTTTGAGAGCGTCCGTCATTATCGATTTTAAAGCGACATTATTTACCGAAAAACATGGATGTAAAAGTCAATCATCTGTAATTTTAGTAAAGTTGACTTGACAGTAATCGATCTGAAATTTAATTGTCATTGATAAATTAAAACTCGTAAACTCAAATTTTAACCTAATTGACAAGTTTGTTCCAGCTGACTTAGTCATTAGTTGGTACTGTAAATCTCATTTTCGTGCATCGACAGCATGACCTTGACCCATCACCTTGTAGAGCATCGAACTCTTTCTCTCCAAGACGTTGCGTGTAAGATTGTACATGTACAACAGGCGCAAATTAAGAATTAGATACAACCGAGCCAAACAATGAATTGAACCTAAATCATTACAGCTGTTTCGTCTTTCTAGGACTTGTCCGTGATGCTAGGGACATAAATGTAAAACATACATACATGATGTAAGGGGCGATTGAAGAAAATCCAAAGTCATCCACAGAAATGTCAAAATGTAGACGAGTAAAAACACAAGGTTCGTAATTCAGTAAATTTCAAAATCGTAATATTTCTATTGATTTTGATAAAACGTCGAGTAGGTGTAAAATATATAATTGCTAATAGTTTACAGATAATTACATTTGTCTTTCGGATTTCATTTTATTTCGTTTGGCTATATCAGTATTGAATTCCCGAAAAAAAAAATTCAAAAATGTACGTCTTTGACCATTTTAGATTATCCAAAACATTTTCTACAGAAAAGTAATTACTTTTTTATAACAATGTCCGTTATCGTGCTGTTGGGTAAATCAGACGTACAATCGTTATATTTTTATCGTTAAATAAACTTTACCCAGTAGGATCTTTATATGCTGTTCAACGTTTTAAAGCAATCCCAGATAAGCTATGCATTAATAAAAGGCGCTTGTTTATTTGTATACCTGTTTATTTGAATTGTCAGGGCGATTATCAAATAGGTCCGGAAATTCTTTCACCGGCCACTGACAGTGTATTAAGATAGATTATGCAAATTAGTTTGTCTTCCTATTAATTCTACTTCTTGTGGTCGGCTTATAAGGCAATTACGTCACGAAAAGGACTCGGTATGCAAGGTTGACACCGTGACACAGTGAAATAACTTAGGAATTAATCAACGCAAATAAAATGAAATATGTCTACCTTTCTGTAAAATGTTTAGTTAACCTCTTGGCAATAACGTTCACTCGTCCAATATATAAGGAACTTGTCACATCCGCCATTGGTCTGAATATACAACGGAATAGGTGTGACACGGAAACTACTGCAAATGCCGCATAAGTATACGTTTTTTTTTCAAACTTTTAAAGAGATTCTAGGATTTTATTTAAATTAGAATGCAATATATATTTGTGTATGGGACAAATTCATTATTTTTAAAAGTGTTTTCTAAATTTAAAGCCGTTGGTGTTTAACAGAAAAAACATCATATTTTCGCGTTGTTACTGAATTTTAGTGATAACGACAAAACGAAAAATAATCTCTCTACAATATCACGTCTATGATTGTCTTTGTTTATTCGTGTTCCAATTTTAATGTTTATTCGTGTTCCAATTTTAAACTCCATTTCCCAACTATTTTATTTCTTAGATTTGTGGCATAATTCTTCATAAAATTGCACTTCAAAGAATAGAAAGTAGTAAGACCAAAATGCACCTGTCAAGTCACATCTTTGATATTGTGGTCACGATGAGCTCTCTGTTTCTGATATGTCACTATTATCTTTCCAATGTTCACTCTTTTCACCAGACCTCACACAAACCATAACAATGAACTTTTATTTATTTTACAACAAATACGAACATGTTTTTCCAACTTATATTAATCACTCGTGTTGGCCCGGATGAAAGAGCGCAGGGGATCTTACTGTGGGAGGAAACCGGATTACACGGGTAAAACCCACGTGGTCAGGCAGGTGACCCTATACTTTTTACGTCCAATTCGGGAATAGAACCCCGGACGGCTAGGTGAAGACGAGTGCGTTATCACTGCGCCACCCGACCATCCTTAAAAGTTTTTAAGCAAGTATGCAAGTACACAAACCATGAAATATTAGGATAGTTAGTGTGTTTGAGTGGTGAAAGTGTCGCTCCCTGTTCCTGCAGACTGATTGTGTGTTCATAAGAGGCAAATAACCTTGAGGTTTTTTCTCTCTCTCTCTGAATTCCTTAACAACAGAAAGCCTCGTTTCATGTTTTAATATTGAGCGTCAGTTTAAGCGTGGGTGATCATTTAAGGGCTTTGATCACTGACAAAAATTACTGCTTTTGATCCGATATGCAGGTTTAAACGGATTGAAAAAAGGATTTATAAGCCCTTTGTCAGTAAATGTGACCGGTTGGTGTCACTGGTTCAGTCGACGGCATTCTAGTGTGATGGCACTGTAACAGACGTGACCTTGCATGGCCCATAAGTTGAATTTACGTGACCTTGCATGACCCATAAGTTGGACTTTAAAATAACTGCATTTTTTTTTACCATCTCACTAATCCTTCTAAATAGTTACATCCCAAATAACTTGGTACCTCCATTACTACTTTAGTTTGTCTTTAACAGCCTTAACCTCGCATCAGTTATAAATATAAACTTTATTTATTTTACAACAATTGCGAAACAAGTTATGTCAACTTATACTAATCACTATTGTTGGCCCGGATGTAAGCGCGCGAGGGGTCTTATTGTGGCATCAGTTCATCTCTCTTACAGTCCATCTCCATAGCAGCTTGTCTTTCTCGCTATCCGATCCTTTCATCAATTTGTCTATCATCATACCAGTCTCTTTCCGTTCTATCATCGCTCTATCCCCACCTCAGTTTGTCTCTCAACATTCGATCCCCACATCAGTTTGTCTCCCTCATCACCATAAAAAGACATAAATGTCTCATTATTCGATCTTTACATGAGTTTGTCTCTCTCACGCCCCTATAACCATATCAGTTGGTCGCTCTCCCTTCCTTATCGCCTCATCAGTTGGTCGCTCTCCCTTCCTTATCGCCTCATCAGTTGGTCGCTCTCCCTTCCTTATCGCCTCATCAGTTGGTCGCTCTCCCTTCCTTATCGCCTCATCAGTTGGTCGCTCTCCCTTCCTTATCGCCTCATCAGTGGGTCGCTCTCCCTTCCTTATCGCCTCATCAGTTGGTCGCTCTCCCTTCCTTATCGCCTCATCAGTTGGTCGCTCTCCCTTCCTTATCGCCTCATCAGTTTGTCAATCTCACCATCTAATCCTCACATCAGTTTGTCTCTCTCACCACCCAGTTATCAGTTCGTCTCCCTTAAGTCCGACCCCCACATCAATATCAGATCCCAACATAAATGTTACTTTCACCGCCGAATCACCACACCAATTTGGTCTCTGTCACCGCCGAATCACCACATCAGTTTGTCTACCTCACTGTCCCATCCCAATATTAGCTTGTCTCCTTCACTATTCAATCCTCACGTCAGTTTGTCTTTCGTGTCACCCATTCCCACATCAGTTTGTCATTCTCACTATCAAATCCCCACATCAGTGTATTTCCTACTGTCCAATTCCCACATCAGTTTATCTCCCACTATTCAATCCCCACATCAGTTTATCTCCCACTATCCAAATCCCCACATCAGTGTATCTCTCACTATCTAATCCCCACATCAGTGTATTTCCCAATATCCAATCCCCACATCAGTTTATCTCTTACTATCCAATCCCCACATCAGCCTCTCCCACTATCCAATCCCCACATCGGTGTATTTCCCACTATCCAATCCCCACATCAATTTATCTCTTACTATCCAATCCCCACATCAGCCTCTCCCACTATCCAATCCCCACATCGGTGTATTTCCCACTATCCAATCCCCACATCAGTTTATCTCTTACTATCCAATCCCCACATCAGTTTGCCAGTCATCTACCTATCTAGTCAATGGTTTGTCTCTCTTGCCTTCCATCCCCACATCAGTTTGCCTTTTATCACCCCGGTAATGTTCCTTTCCCAAACCTCATCATCACCATAAATTTCAGATAGAACCTTAAGCCCTATGTTTATCTATTAAACATCGCCTCGCAAGCGCGCCCGTCTCGTCATTCCTTCTGTGTTGTGTATTAGATAACTTCCTCCTGTGGTAACTCGAACACCTGTCGTTGTTAAAAATCAATACACATTACGCGACCGTTTTTCTCATAACAATTGTATCATATCAGGTCTATGATACATAGCCACGACGTCTGTATGGAATGTGCCTCAAATATGTCAGGAATGTCCCTGGGATTCTATCCTATTTCAGATTTTTATGTATTATGTAAAGTTATGAATGGGTCGATCAAGGAGATCGTGTTAACATTCCCTGTCATCACCAATTAGTGAGTAATACATGTTCGCCAACAGACCTGGACTTGTTTTGTTTTCATTTGTGTATCAGATCCTTTCCTGTTTCCATGTAGCCGTCGGGATCCTGAATAATGCACGTTGTCCATATTCGGTGTACACTGCCTGCAGAATAGCTGCCGGCTATAACTAGGTGTGAAGTGCGTGAAGCATTCGTATCAGTGCTGATGGGGGATTTCCCACACACATGACAGCTCATGACTCTGATTGGTCGTTAAATATAGGACTACGTCATATATTCCCTAGGTGGACGAAAGCCTGATAATCATTCATAGTATACACTAACTTGGCTTATGCACAGACGTAAGAGAGGACCGGAACGTTACGCTACAGTACACCCACGTTGTCCGACGACTCAGCTTTAAACTACCGGCATACCACTGACAATTCAGTGTGCTTCTAACTGTCGACATTAAAACACTACAACATAGTCTTACTGAGAAATAGTCGGCAAGATGCTTCTAAGTAGTGTTAACCTGATCAAAAACAGTCACTGCCATAACAACAACAACCACCAATTCAGTGATTTCATCCTCGGCAAAATCAAAGAGGATCAAGAAAAACGGGAAAAGAAGTGTTTGGGCACAGCTCCCTTTGGCTCCAGACCCGGAAAACAGAACAATGTAAGATTACTTTTTAAAATATATTCTCATTTGATGATTATTAATCAGATATATGATTATATTTCATATTTGTCAAATATTACATGTTGTAGACATATATTGCTTGACGGTTATCATCACAATGTTATATTCTTCAAAACCATGCTGATACTGAATATTCTTTGTTATTTTAGTATTTTACAATGGTTTTCCATTACCTTTATTGATCAGATTTACATCACGAACTTCTCTTTTAATGTCGCATTTACAAAGGATGGTCATTAAGCTACAAACACTAGCAGGTTATATATATAAACTAGATTGATGCTTTGGAACTTGGTGACCTACTTCTGAAAAAAACTGAAATCGAATTTTTTCGCCCTTGTAACAACGGTTTGTAGCTGTAGGTGTTCTATTCAGCACATTTGAAATGTCTGCAGCGAGAGTAATCAATTTCACGTGAAACAGATGTCGGGGTTATTTCATTCTATCCTGTCTACTCAGTAGAGATAAGCTTGGCGTGAGCTACAGTGTTCTGATTTGATACAGCAAGTTATGGTGTGTTTTCATCATAATTGTACACTATTTGTCTTCAATTAAATATCGGATTCCACAGTGTTGTACAATGGTTCGATTCAACTACAGAAAATTAGTCACAATAAATTCCAGTATATTGCGTGTTCTAAAATCTACACAATATATTCTTTTATTACATCATCGGCTGCCATGCTTTTTTCTATTTTGTTTCCGCTATTATGACGTAAAGATACATTAAATAAGATATTATATATGAAATTATATAGCATGCAGAGGATTCATTGAAGTCTCTTATTTCCACGTGAAAAGAAATGAAGTCTACAGATTCAATTACGTTTTAAACAATATTCTGTATCTTGAAAAGCAGATTTGTTTTCGTCTGAAGACCCATTATTCCCTTGAAAGAATTTTCCTGACCAACCAGACATTCTGATGTTTTGTGTAACATTCCTAAGAAAACCAAGGTCATGAAATATACATTTATTCTTAGTTGATCAATAACGTGTATATGGCAGATCACGTGTTGTTATCATCTACCTATTAATTACTGTTTATGTCACTGAACAGGTGTCATAAAATGTGTATGTTAATAGGTGTCCATGCATAGTGTATGACACGATATTGGTTTCTCACGATAAACCTGTACTGTTTCGTTCTTACATAGATGCAACTCGCACGAACAAACATTATGTAATATATGTATGTATACTTATAATATATTTTCTGTGTATACATAAAAATAGTATATAATGTCCTTATATGGCGACGTGAATTTCATATTGATATACACATGATGACAGGGCATTGTTGCGTTCACAGAAAAGGAGTTAAGACAGGGCATTGTTGCGTTCACAGAAAAGGAGTTATTATAGAAATAATGAGAAATGACAATAATGATACCATATACATGTATCTATTGAGAATGATTAAATCATAACTATAGAAATAGTTTTTGTCACATAGATGCTGATGATACAAGAATTACGTAAGCAAAGGTATGGGTTAGTCTGCTTTATATAACAAATCTATTTCTGATGAAATTTCCTGTACAAGTCCGTCAGTGAGGGAATACCAGTGTTGTAATTCAGATGTGGTTCTTCAACATTTTACACAGTCACGGAGACATGATAATTTATGTGTGAATCCGTACAATGATTTGTGACTTTAGTTAAAACTTTAGAAATGGCAAAAAGAAAAAAAACCATTTCAAGACGCAAGTACTAAAATATAGCACTTCTAGAACGGTTGTTGTCACAACATGAATTTGTACCAATATTGATGTATAAAGTACAGAACCTTGTAAAATGTCAGTGGTATTGAATAGTGTATTTATATATCATAATGGTTATTGTAAATAAGTAAAGGGCTGTATCCTTATTGTAGTGTGTCACATATATAGATCATTGGTGTATTGATTTTATTGTGGTAGTCAGAATAATGAAACAAACACTACGTAATTGATCCTCCTAGCAACCGTCTTCCTTCATTGGTCTCTAAGGTAAACCATAACATGGGAGTAGGTTTCCATCTCTTCAGGAAGACAAATACTGGAGCCGATTGAGATAATATGTATTCAAATTTATGCAGGAATCTTAATACTTATTAAACAGTTAGAATACCTTTTGTAAGGTTATAAATACATGTACCCTTTCAACACCTGTGTTCGCGACCTGAAAATGAAACTTTTGTCTGATAACTTCACGCTTAATTAGATTTTGTTAATAAGGCTTAGCACAATTAGCTTTTTTTTATTAGGGATCTATACATTTTTACTTATGGCAAGTACACCTGTGGATTTTCAATAGGTAAAATGGGTATAGGTCATTAGTGATTAGAAAGTTTAATGAGTACAGTACAGCCCTTCACAGTCCCTTGAACAAAATCCAGTATTTAATATAAAAATCCGTTTGAGGTTTTAAGCTTGCCGCTGGTGATTTTAAGTTTTCAAGTCTGAGTAGTAGGCACATTGGTTGAAATAGTAAACCTCAAGAATGCGAGTAGGTTAGATTAGCAGAATACCTGCGGTTGACCATATGCCAAAATACAGGTGTTCTGGTGAATTCCGCTTCGGAGAAATATGATCAAATATTAGCCAAGTGGGTTGGGAGTAGTGTTAAAATTCTTTCTTTGGAAATGTTAAACGAGACTGAAAAGGTATCGGGCGGTATATATATATATAAACCACTAGAATATATATACCCGTGTATACACATTGACACCTACCCGGTTAAACAAATAAATTTAGGTCATACCCATCTTGACTTTCAAACCCACATACATTTTTGTAATACCCAATTTTTATAAAAATTTAAATGGATCGGTATTTTTATTAGTTTAAATAAGTTTGTACAAGAGGCGTTTCTGGACTAGTTGAGTATTTTTATTTATTTGGTACGAAATTGATTCATGTACTTTCTCAAATAGCTAGACGGTACGGGCTAAATCTTAAAAAAAACATGCACTAATATGTTTATCGATACTTTCTATAATATTTGTGTTAGAATAAATACACTTTGAAATCAGAACGTCTGTGTTTATTTAAGATATATACCTTGTATCGCCCACAAAACGGCAACACGTTTTCTTAATGTAGTGTAAAATCAATCATAGACATTCCTTTATGTTCCTTCTAATCTACAAATACTTACATGACATTTAAAATAGTTTTAATTCAGTTTGACAATCTGAACTTTACAAATGAAAGCATTCAATCCTTATTGATTTAACAAATATACCTTGTTACGCTGGCGTAAAAACATGTCCTGATTATTTCGGGAATATTTAACAGATTAAGAAAACTAATCCAATGAATTATCTTTTGCCGTTAAATTACATTTATAAATATTTAAGTTCTTATAGGGGTTGACAACAAGATTGCTATGCATTCTTAGGACAGTTTATAAACAATGTTATGGACCATATTCCGTGTGTCATAGAACAATATGTGTGTTCTAAGTGGACACGCGGGATAGAACTAGGTGATGCTTGTGGCATCAAATTATACTTAGAAGTGTGTAGATTTTGTCTATTTAATTTCTCAGAAAAAAAGGGTGTGTTTTTATTGTGATTTCCCTTTTTACAAAGTAGGTTTTTAAGAAGTAAAATAGTTAATTCTGGTACCTGTACACGCTGTATTTAAGCGAGATATGTCTTGCCACCGCCCTCACTGTAGGTATATAGGATGTTTATTTCTAGTCATTGATATTTCAATGCCAACTAAGATGGGCGTTACCAGTGTATAGTATGTTAACACTAGGGATTCCGACTCGTTAAATCTATTACACAAGTAATTGATTGGAAATGTAAACACCCATCGTTTGTATAAAAAACAACACCCAATTGACATTTTTCTTTGAAAAAAGTTTAAGATGGAACGCCCTTCAGGTATAAATACTAAATACAACAAACACAAAGAGCGGATTGAGAATTGTTCCACGCTGTGATAAGGATGTTCTGTATATATATACTTGTGTGATTAAGGGAGGATGAATGGACAGAAATTCACGCTCCAGATACACTCGTCATGAACACATCATTTGTGTTACATTTAAGTCATTGTTACCACCTAGACCCGCCCTTTCGTTGACATCTTTTTGTAACGCCTTTCATTCTAAATATGGAGGGTGAACCTATGATACACCATATATATAAACTATGAAGTATTTTTACTACAGCTTTAGACCTCTGCGAGTGCCTAAATAGAGGAGATTTGTTGAGACATTTATGTTGACATCCTGAACAATAGAATAATTCATTACCGTTTCAAGTTTTTACTATTTTTGGATCTCGTGTACAAATAAACATATTTTAATAACGTTCTCGCCAGATTTTATATAATCTTTAAAATTAGAAATTATGTAATGAAAATTTTCTGTTCCTGGTTGTTGGGTTTCTACTGCTGATGAAATGAGAATAGAAAAATGTCACGTGATGCAGTAATTTAGTGTACCAGTCTCGATCTCTTGCGAACGATGCAAATCGTGTTTATTTATAGCCCTGATGAAATTTCACTTGTAGCCTAGCACAGTGTACCTGAAATAGCTCGCAACAATATAAAGTCATGTCTAAAAATAGCTGACCTGAATGATAAGAGGAAGGTATGGTATAATATAAACAGTGAACCCCTAGCTTTAGTTTACCTGGCAGTTTCAGTGTGAATTATTGTGCCGCATACGTTATGTGCTGCCCCACCTTGTTCGTTGAAATCTCGGTAGGTATGGCCTGCATATACTATACCATCAACGATATATATAAACATTCAGAAATATAAATGTTCCAGGGGCGCCTAAATTACTTTTTTTCAAATTTAGTTACTTTTAGATAGTTATATGTAAATTGAAGTAGTTTTTGCGGTTAATTGATTTATGCTCTTTTTACATCTAATAATATATTATTTGTATTTGGAAATCAACTATGTCTGTTGATAAAGAGTAACTACAAACAGTAAAATGCCTATCTTGCATTATATGATTTTACAATACGTAAGGATGGCCCCGACTTCCGGTATAATACTGCAACAGCTGGTCACGGGTAATGACTTTCAAAAACCATTATCAGTGGAGCATGACAGAAAAAGGAGTTTCGTTAGATTTAATTTAAGGCTTGCGGGGATATCGTTTCCTTTTTCCCTTTAGTTGAAGGAAAAATATATTTATAAATTACAAAGTAGGGGATGTGATACTAATTTAACGGAAATTGTTAGAGCAACCCAGGCATTGTTTAAAAAGTGCCTTCCTCATCGTTGATGAAAGGCGCTGTGGTACAATCCTGCAGGACAGGGTCAATATAAGTTTATTTTAAGTTCATTTAAGATCATAACCTCCAGCGGAAGTTTGTGTTTAAGTGTTTTCATCTCGACCATGTGTATTAAGTACAATATGATGATTTTCACATGTAAAGTCATATATGTGGCTATTTTAATGAACCATCACCGTTTGTATAATGCACGGACTACGTGGGCGTGAGAGACTATCTGTCTTCAGGGCAGAATGGACTTGAAAATTGTTCTCAATAAAACTCGCGTGCATACTGTTAATCTGTAAACCCTAATTCATCAATTTAATAATGATTAACTCAGTTTTTAATCCTCTGTTCTACATTCCATGGCTTTTAATTCATAAAATGAATCTTTTTAAATGGTCTCCGTGATTATAAGATTAAACCACGATATAGACATAACATGCAAGGCACTGACCGGGGGAAGATAAAAACGCCACTCCCGAAATGTAACACAACACTAGCATTACAATACAGATTAACCAACTCACAAATGAAACCCGGCTAGCTATTATTTCTAACAGTCTGCTTGGGCTTTAAATGTTATTTATTGCATTTGGTACAAAAGGAATATACTTCATTCATAAATCTGGCATCTCATCAAGGTGCATGCGATTTAAAACATTCCGATCTCTCTGATAACATTCCGCCATGGACTGTAGTTATGAAATAAAACATGTACATATTGTATGCTGGTTTCATATATTGTCTATGACGGGCGCCCTGTACATTAACGCTCGGGGGTTTATTTCCACGAATATCATATGTTATACCAACTGGAATAAAGATTGCATCAAACGGCGGCCGACCGGTGGAGACGTTAGAAGGACGGAGTGGGGGGGGTCATATTTTGTATTGTGATACACAGCAACATATCAATCAATAGATTGGTTTTGTTTTAGTTTTCCGTTTAAAGTTGTGGTTAGCATGATTTTACAGAAAGATGTTTACACAAGCGCCTGTCTAATGATCATAGACATGATTGTCAGGGAGAATCATCAAAATGGAAATTTGTCATTTAAATTAAATAAGCTAGTATTTCAGTTGGTCACATACTGTGTACAATGAGCTTTCCGCACGGCAAAATATCACCTCGCTTTATATACATTTGAGGACAAATACGACACTGTGTTGTGTTGTCGACAAGCTAATAGGGGTACCGTCTCGAGGACAATGCCTTACCTGACAAACGTCAAAACATTAAATGTTTATATCTGACTCCACGGCACGGAGCTTCAATCCACTTTTGTTTCAATAGGACCTCCAGGAGGCAATACTATGCCCCCACGTGGCGAAACGACTTAAAAGATTTCGCACAAACAACTCAATCTATTGTTTTTCGGTGTTACTGTCCGTGTAATACCAAAATCGAAAGTATTTTTTCACACACAGTGCCACTCAGACGATACAGGTGATGAATATTTCAGTACACAAAGTGTTTCCAACGGTGGTTCGAATTGTCTTGTGGTTTAAGTGGCTAAGGAAAATATAAATAACGAAACCAATTCAGTAGTTGCTAATTTGGGAAAAGAATTTCTATTGTAAGACCACAAGCTGCTCATTCTACTTCTCTTTATCTGATTAGTGGATGAGTTTTATGACTATTGGGTACTGTAGCTGGCACGCCATCATCTTTTCTCTCGCCAACACCACTGACACGATATTCTGTCCATTCCATGCAGTTTCATGAGCATGCCAACATTTTCGTGTTAACGTTTTTTTCTCTGTCTTGCAGGATGAGAAAGAAGTCCATGAGAATGAATCGAAAAGTCAAATTACAAACAATTGCCAACAAACAGGTAGGTTACAAGATAGTACTTTTCAAAGAACACATGGCCGTAACTTTATCATCTCCGCAATTTACAGAAACCACCCTCGCGTGCATATCATTAGATTCAAAACCTTTAGATTTTGAAGGTGAAACTGTTGGTAGAGTCAAAGGTTACTCTCGTTTTTATTGAATGATAGTACACGCGTGTTATAATATCTGTTCGTATGTTGGTTTTGGAAGTTAACAAGACGATTTAAAAACTGAAAAAAAATATAATAAAAGTGTAACTAATTAATTTTATACATACATGTAGCTTATTATGGCTTGTGTGTCTTTGACCTTTCTGGGATCGACACCATGGTATATATATTAGTAAGTCCAACATGTATGTTGTCCATGGTTATGGTAAATACTGGTGATAAATACGTGTTAGGTCCTGATTGACAGAAGTTGATACGTTTTACGATTTTCTCACGACAAGGGTCTACAATATCATTTATTGACCCCGCTGATTTTTTTTTTTTTCTGATATGCGGTGATTCAGCAAAAAAGCATAAAAGGAAACATCAGATTTTTGTTTTCGTAGCATACAACGAAAAAATGTCTATGAATTTTATATTTTCATGAAATAAACTTTGGAATATTTATTTACAGATTCGAACCGGAAGGTGGAGAGTTGTACCGTTACCATACAAACAAGTGACCGCTATTATTTCACACTCCGAACAGATAGAGACATGCTTTTCCTAGTCGATACGGAAACTTCCTGTCAGAACTGTAAGTTTGACTCTCATATTTATAATCAATTGCACGAACATTGTAAACATAGGACAGGAAACCAACACACCGTTAAGACATGGCACGACATTTTGTTTTAAATCTGCACAGAAGGGGTCTTGTTACTTAACGATAGTGATAAACCAAGCTGTAATTAAGACCGAGTGACTACTTGAAGGCCTTGTCCCGAAATGAAAATAAGAGGAAATCTGATTACCGTTTAATTAGAAGTTCTAATTAATCAATAAGGCGATAGCTATTTCGTACCATGGCCTGATGTGATAAATTATATATTCATGTTTGACGTCATGGTCAGTGAGAGGAGTTGTACATCACGTGCACGTGGGCGGTCAGTGAAGACAATAAGATTGTATTACGATCATCCCGACACAAACTCTACTTATTTTTACCTCATAAGATGCTTTCTTGTGCACGTGCTATTTAGAACTAGTCTCCATGATATAGGTAATTATGTCGGTGAGAGGGCGACATCGACATTTTTTACACCAACCGCAGACATGACTTTATCGATTTTGCTATTAAACTGTCGGATGTAACCACATTACTTGAAGATGTTTCCCACACTTTGGTATACATCACATGCCTTTTGCCTTGACCATCCGTCAAAATATGTCATCCAACGAGACACGGACTAGCTCCCCCCGGTGTCATCAAGTACGTTACAGGATAAAAACAAACAAAACGATTAGACCTTAAGCTACAAGATACGCATAATTCAACACCCTTCGGTACATAGAAATGATTTTCAAATATAATGCATTCTTTAAGATAAATGTCCTTTAGTCTGTATTGGGTTCGTTTCTATTACCTATGTACTTTAGAATGAATAAAGCAATAGTTTTAAGGCTGATATGTATATCCTATACAGGTGTTGAGTTCTATGCCGAGTATTGTGTGCTCAGCAATAGGGTATTGTAGAACATCCATGTTGCATATTGATATTGTACAATTACACGCACTCATTGAACAAATGAAATATCCCCGCGAAGCTAATTGCACTAGAGACTCTCAATTACACTCAAATGCCTGAAAGATGATCCAGAAATTCTGTTAATTTGTTATTTCTTTTCCAAAATTCTGATTGAACTGTGACTGGCGATTTTGCTCGAAAAGGACTGCAGTCATTATTTCTATTTAAGTATAGAAGTTTTAAAACGGACTAAGATAACTTTCCTGTTTTAACATAAGAACACATCGATTTGACCTCTGACATTTTCAAATACAATTTCTAGCAAGATGACAGTAATTACACGTAACTGAGGCGCGTTTAGCACTAAATTAGTGACTTTACAATTCTGTCCGGATATGATGACCTCGGTTCTCAACTTAATCAGACCTCATTAGGACCGTTAACAAGTAACGTTTGTGGTTTCACGGTCCATGACTGATCTGTCTTCCAGGATTATTGGTAATTTGAGTTTTGGGGCTCTTTATAGAAAAATTGTCTATTTTTGTTGCTTCATATAACGTGATTTATTGTGTGTAAGCGTTTAGTCAAGCACTTTATTGATTAGCAAACAAGTTTTTCCTGCCGTACGTGTTTAATACAGTAATCTGGCTTGTTATAGTATGTACATCTCCAAGAAACAAACAGTTTTTAATCGAAATTCTGAAAAATAAATATTCGACTTCAGCATACTTCTGTATACTATATATTTCGGCACCTCCCACGCTTTCTTGGGACATGTGTCGGTGTCCTGTTGAGCTAATGAAAAAGTCTATCGCAAATCGATGGCAAATTGAAAGTTTGTAGCTACCGCAGCATTGATTGGTGTTAGCAAGTTATCGTGTTGTCATACTTACTCTAGCTCGCAATTCTAATATTTATAGAAATCAGACTCTACCGGAAATTACAAGTAATACGTATCTGAACTTTATCTTAAAACATTTCTTGTTAAGGTCATCTTTTCATTTACGCCATCTCTAAAAGAGATCGATCCATGCTTTCGTCATAAATTAATTAGATAATCAACAATGTTTACCAACAGTGGGCTTACAGAACCGTCTAATGAGTTCGCGTGGGTGATGTTGATTTTGCAGTCGTTAAATGACGCAGTGCCAATGAGGCATTTCAAACCCGGTTGTCAAGACACGAATTAAAAATTGAGTGGTATAGATTTTCGGGTTTAACTCCGAAACTTGAAAGGAAGATAAATTGTATTTGCGTGACAATTTTTTTAATACATTAAAACATGTTTAAGCTTGTGCGCCTTTGATAATTTGTGTTTCTTTTGTGATGCAGGTGTGTTCAGGCAACGCCTATATAAAGATACAGAGGAGAGACAACTGGCGGTGTTTGAAACCCTAGCTGACAGTTCAAAATACATCAGTGCGGACGGAGAGCGCAAACTGTCGATTTCGGTAAGCAAAGACTGTTGTCATATTACAATTATCCATAACAGTAATAAAAATACAAGTTAAAGTCATGAACTTTAATTCTTCAAATCACAAATGTTCCTCACAGACGCTCATTTTACACGCCTTTTCGATCAGACACTTGCACATGGAAATAGATAAATTTATTTATACGCTACCATCTAAAACATTGTAGAGTCTATTTCAGTAGCGTTGCGTGTTTTGTCCTTTGTTTGTTACATGTTTTCAGTACCACACTATTGGTAACGCCGTGGTCGTCAATTGAACCTATATGTGCGTGATGGAAGTATTTTATGTTGTACTTTTTAATTGTAGACGTTCGCAACGCAACCCGATCCAGAAAATCCGGACGAGAGATTCTTTGTTATCTATAGAATAGAAAACGGAAGCGTCTTTCTTCAGCCATTTTCACACAAAGGTAAGAAGGATATGTTTATCGCCATGCCTTTAAATTAAATATCTGATATCTGTATGTAAATTCCTATTTACTACCCCGCCTACAATCGGTTAGGATATACAAAGGTGCGGTTTAAATATTATTTACAAATATGGGAAATATTTTCGTTTCAAGTGCTAAGACTGAGTAATGAGCACAAAGCTACATGAATATATTTTACGAACTTTAGAAGGTCGACTTCTTTCCCAAACTAACGGAACGAAATTGGTTCAGTATTGTTTTCAAGGAACTAGCGAGCTTTAGTCGGACCTAACATCACAAATGATAGTACAATGGCTTTATTAAGCATTCATTTCTTTTTCTGTTTCTCAGGTTACTACCTTCACCACATCGACAACTGCCTCACAGTTCGCAAACTAGAAATCAACTTACGTCCGCCTGAAGAATATTTCTTTCATATCGTGGAATCGCAAGTATCAGCAGTTGTGATGGCGAGCATTGCGCAGAAGGAAAATCTGAAAAACTTAAGAAACGAACTTGTTCCATCCGATGGAAGACAGAGACAGAAAATATTTACCCGGGAACGACCGGTTCAAAAACCCGGATTATTTTTCGGATGCTTTGGTGTCCGTTCTAAGAAATCTCCTACGGATAAAAAGGTGAAAGTCCGACGATGAATTGTATTTCCTTTATTCGGAGACTGAAAAAAAAATCTGAGACGTGATCTCTGTATCAGAGAAAAATGTATCACCCAAAGATACATACAGATTCCCTTCACAAGGGATGGAGAACTCTGCAACGTGCTGTAACTGCGCACGCTCAGTGAGTTGACATGCGCAGTGGGAGTCAGAGGACGTTCCAGGGATGGTTGTGATTTGAAAACAGAAACTAGGATGATTTTTGTGTTCATTCAGCTAAGGTTTCAGTACCAGCGACATTCAATGACATGTGCAATAGACATTCCATTTTGTTTATTTATAAACATATCATTTGTGTATAACATGAGATAAACGATAATTTCTGTTTATCCTGCATTTGCGCCTCCAGATGTCCCAGCAGAAGTGATATTTTGTAGTTATAAATGCATTTTTGTGTTATACGTTCATATTTTCATTCGTTTTGTGTTTTGTTATGAAACCTGCATATTATTTGAGCTGACAGAAGACAATGTCTTCTTTGATAACAGTAGATTTTAGGATTTTGACCATTCTAGGATAAATAACCTAGAGGGAGAAGTACATTATATTTATTAGTGGTAGCGTTTGACAAATCGACATTAATATGTCAGTATCTTGCCTATTTCTACTTAGACAAGAGATGAATGAGAACGTTGTTCATTTATCTTGAAAACAAAGATATAGATAGATAACTTTTGTAAAGTTGAGACAATAAAAATATTTTAATTATATTTGATGACTGTGGTATTCGGCTGAGGTCCGGTCGGTCCTCGAGTTTAAAATCACATAGTAAGTTTACAATCAAGCCATATTTTACCTGTAGTAGTTTGTAGTAATGTAAATATAACCAAATCCAAAATAAAAGTAAGATAAAATAGGTTTAAACATAAAGGAAAGAAAAATATGTGTCTAATGGACCATTAACGATACAGTTGTGTAATACTACCCTGGTATACAGGGTGATGAAGTTTAACACATACTCTATCAAGGACTGGTCAGTGTTATAGTTTGTTTCGTTTGTGAAATATGCAAATCTGTTCATGGTAGTTACACTGACGATATATCTTTTTACTGACCATATCCGAGAATTAAGAACAGCCAAGTCGTTGATTAAGCTGGTTACACATTTTAGATAAGTTAAGTTTTCGGATTAACGAATTCCGGATTAACAACCTGGCTCGTAAATTATCACGGTCCTTATTTATTAACTCGTATTTGTGTCTATCCATACTTTCGAACATATGTGCAATTTAAAATGGAAGATTTCAACTGAATTTTTAATTCATTATGAATCTGAAATGGTGAAATCTTGTCAATTCTTGTGATTATTTGTCGCTTTTTTTTAGATAGATGCAAAACAAACGAGTAATTTGTTTTCATTACATTTTGTATCTAAGTGCTTGCTTTAATTTCTACACTAGTTTCGCCAAAGATTATTCTGTTGTGGTATCCATAAAAAGTATTTTGCAACTCTGATCGACAATCTGTTATCCTGTTGGCTAATTGAAAATCGATGATGTTTGAATTTCACCCTGACTTTTAACTTTGTTCAAAACTTGCATGTACAGGTGGGTCAAGGTCATATCTTTATGAATTTCTTGTAGAATTTAACATAATGCACTAGAAAATGTCTGAACTATTGAAACTGTACGTACATTTTGTATTTTGTATTGTTTTAATCAATATCGGATTTACTTTCATTATTTATTTGTCGGAAAACAGTGTTTTCATTAATTTATTACATTTGTTCTAGAATTGTTGGTACAAGGAATAAAAAAGTTTCATTTATTTCTTCTTACGAATAAAATATTTAAAAAATAATCTCAAATTGTTTCTTTTATTTCAATTTTGTTGTACTTTTTGAACACATTGGACAGCTGACTCGAGCATGCGCATCATGTACTGTGTTGAACCAGTTTCTGAAGATGGGAAGAGGCTGTCGTGATAACTTGTAGTATGATAAAATCGTTAAAACGACCCTCGCCTGACGTATGACTGATTATTTCAACTATTGTTTAAATGAATGACTCTTAAAGATTATTAACTGATGTTCTACATGAAGAGAGATCACACCTACAATACATAAATACAACACCACGGTACCTGTGCTTTATCTGATGATATGGTGGTGAAGAAGGATGCTACACAATGTCATCGATAACGCTGTTCTCTGGTTTGTACGAAGTAACCATCTCAGGACGAGGCTGATTTACCAAATAGGGCACCTATTTAACATCCAGACTGATATATCCACCTATTTAATATCCAGACTGACATCTACATCTATTCAATATCCAGACTGACATCTACACCTATCTAATATCCAGACTGACATCTACATCTACTTAATATCCAGACTGACATCTACACCTATTTAATATCCAGACTGACATCTACACCTATTCAATATCCAGACTGACATCTACACCTATTTAATATCCAGACTGACATCTACACCAGACTGACATCTACACCTATTTAATATCCAGACTGACATCTACACCTATTTAATATCCAGACTGACATCTACACCTATTTAATATCCAGACTGACATCTACACCTATTCAATATCCAGACTGACATCTACATCTATTTAATATCCAGACTGACATCTACACCTATTTAATATCCAGACTGACATCTACACCTATTTAATATCCAGACTGACATCTACACCTATTTAATATCCAGACTGACATCTACACCTATTTAAAATCCAGACTGACATCTACACCTATTTCCAATATCCACCTACTAACACTGACATCTACACCTATTTAATATCCAGACTGACATCTACACCTATTTAATATCCAGACTGACATCTACACCTATAATATCCAATATCTACACCTATTTAATATCCAGACTGACATCTACACCTATTTAATATCCAGACTGACATCTACACCTATTTAATATCCAGACTGACATCTACACCTATTTAATATCCAGACTGACATCTACATCTATTTAATATCCAGTTGACATCTACACCTATTTAATATCCAGACTGACATCTACACCTATTTAATATCCAGACTGACATCTACACCTATTTAATATCCAGACTGACATCTACACCTATTTAATATCCAGACTGACATCTACACCTATTTAATATCCAGACTGACATCTACACCTATTTAATATCCAGACTGACATCTACACCTATTTAATTTCCAGACTGACATCTACACCTATTTAATATCCAGACTGACATCTACACCTATTTAATATCCAGACTGACATCTACACCTATTTAATATCCAAGACTGACATCTAAACCTATTTAATATCGAGACTGACATCTACACCTATTTAATATCCAGACTAAAATCTACACCTATTCAATATCCAGACTGACATCTACACCTATTTAATATCCAGACTGACATCTACACCTATTTAATATCCAGACTGACATCTACACCTATTTAATATCCAGACTGACATCTACACCTATTTAATATCCAGACTGACATCTACACCTATTTAATATCCAGACTGACATCTACACCTATTTAATATCCAGACAGACATCTACACCTATTCAATATCCAGACTGACATCTACACCTATTTAATATCCAGACTGACATCTACACCTATTTAATATCCAGACTGACATTACACCTATTTAACACCTGACATTACATAATATCCAGACTACACCTACCTATTTAATATCCAGACTGACATCTACACCTATTTAATATCCAGACTGACATCTACACCTATTTAATATCCAGACTGACATCTACACCTATTTAATATCCAGACTGACATCTACACCTATTTAATATCCAGACTGACATCTACACCTATTTAATATCCAGACTGACATCTACACCTATTTAATATCCAGACTGACATCTACACCTATTCAATATCCAGACTGACATTACACCTATTTAATATCCAGACTGACATCTACACCTATTCAATATCCAGACTGACATCTACACCTATTTAATATCCAGACTGACATCTACACCTATTTAATATCCAGACTGACATCTACACCTATACACCTATTTAATATCCAGACTGACATCTACACCTATTTAATATCCAGACTGACATCTACACCTACCTATTTAATATCCAGACTGACATCTACACTATATCCACTGACATCTACACCTATTTAATATCCAGACTGACATCTACACCTATTTAATATGACATCTACACCTATTTAATATCCAGACTGACATCTACACCTATTTAATATGACATCTACACCTATTTAATATCCAGACATCTACACCTATTTAATACAGACTGACACCTATTTAATATACATCTACACCTATTTAATATCCAGACTGACATCTACACCTATCTAATATCCAGACTGACATCTACACCTATTTAATATCCAGACTGACATCTACACCTATTTAATATCCAGACTGACATCTACACCTATTTAATATCCAGACTGACATCTACACCTATTTAATATCCAGACTGACATCTACACCTATTTAATATCCAGACTGACATCTACACCTATTTAATATCCAGACTGACATCTACACCTATTCAATATCCAGACTGACATCTACACCTATTTAATATCCAGACTGACATCTACACCTATTTAATATCCAGACTGACATCTACACCTATTTAATATCCAGACTGACATCTACATCTATTTAATATCCAGACTGACATCTGACATCTACACCTATTTAATATCCAGACAGACATCTACACCTATTTAATATCCATATTGACATCTACACCTATTTAATATCCTACACCTATTTAATATCCAGAGACATCTACACTATTTAATATGACCTATAATATCCACTGACATCTACACCTATTTAATATCCAGACTGACATCTACACCTATTTAATATCCAGACTGACATCTACACCTATTTAATATCCAGACTGACATCTACACCTATTTAATATCCAGACTGACATCTACACCTATTTAATATCCAGACTGACATCTACACCTATTTAATATCCACACAGACATCTACACCTATTTAATATCCAGACTGACATCTACACCTATTTAATATCCAGACTGACATCTACACCTATTTAATATCCAGACTGACATCTACACCTATTTAATATCCAGACTGACATCTACACCTATTTAATATCCAGACTGACATCTACACCTATTTAATATCCAGACTGACATCTACACCTATTCAATATCCAGACTGACATCTACACCTATTTAATATCCAGACTGACATCTACACCTATTTAATATCCAGACTGACATCTACACCTATTCAATATCCAGACTGACATTACACCTATTTAATATCCAGACAGACATCTACACCTATTTAATATCCATATTGACATCTTCACCTGTTAAATATCCAGACTGACATCTACACCTATTTAATATCCAGACTGACATCTACACCTATTCAATATCCAGACTGACATCTACACCTATTTAATATCCAGACTGACATCTACACCTATTCAATATCCAGACTGACATCTACATCTATTCAATGCCAGATAAAGATCTTGTCTATATCGTATAATCGGCACTGACTATAGAAATATTGCTATTCGATACTGCCATCTTCCGTTGCAGTTAAACATTCAAGCGTACATGATTCTCGTTTGTTTGGTTTTTGGTATCATTGCAGATCTGCAGTAAAATCCTTGACCAAAATGGCGCGTCATTCGTCATTCGATGATGCAGAATGAGCAATAAAGCGATATCCCCATAGTTTGTTTTAAAAAAACCCACATTATTATGACGTCATTTGAGTTATACGATTATAAATAAAAGCAAAAAACCAAAAACAAGATGTCCTGTCTGACTGATCGAGTAATTATATCTGTGATTATTTATCGGTGGTAATCTTGTCCGCTCCCTAAAGTTAATGATGATGGTGTTACTGTACCGACGTGGTCCAATTGGGGTGGTGTGGAATGTTGATCTTAACAGTATGCATATTTCTTTCTTTATATATCAACTCTATTTTTCATGAAGTAAATCACATGATGATGTTATTTGAATTTTTTTTTCACTTTTAGAATATAAACAGCTATATGACTTATGAAGCTAAAAGCGAATTTCTGGTCCGAATCTTTATCATTTTGTCGCCACCAGTGACAGCTATCGGAACGAGTGAGTACAGGCTACATACGTCGTCTATTGTTAGACTACCATTGGGAGTATAAAATCTTTAGAATGATCGAAACATGTACATTGTATAACGTAGCGACTGAATCACTCACTACACGATTGGTCTGGGAATATCTCATCAATATACATACCCTTATATTAGGAAACGCCACGTCAAGGGAAATTGGTTAAAAATATAAAGAGATCCGGGACACTGTTCGTGATAGTGAGAGAGTATAATTGCTCTGCATTACACATCACAAAAGCGGCGGTATCAGAGTGTATGATCGTGCACTCTCATTGTTAACGACGTGAAAATCTCAACATTGCATGCATCAGTACAAGATACACTGTGATTGTAATAGATATTTAAAAACAGTGTTATATAACAGTTTTGGTTCGATCGACTAGAACGAAATAAAAGTTCTCTACCGAAACTCAAAGAAAATCCACCACGTCTTCAACTAAGGAACAATTCAAACTGTATTCTGATCTCTTGTTCGTGAGTTAGCTTCATTTCAGCGTGAACTTATCATCAACAAGAGATGTTCCCAACACGTCATTTATAACGATTGGTTACAAGCGCCTGAACTATGACGTTTCTGCCTAGGTG